TTATTCATTACCACTAAAACCACATGGAAGAGCACTGCTTGCCTGATGAAGAACCAAATTTGGCAAACCAACGACGATGAATCAACGCTCAAAATCTCTTACCAAATAAAATGTTTAAAGCAAACTCCCCAAGCTACCATATATTGTGGCCAAATATAGTTTACAATATATGTAGCCGGCAAAAATGACACTGAAAGAGAAAACTCGTAATGACACCTCATGCGGTGAATGTTAACTATATCTGGAAATTTCTTGAAATATTAAAGACGAAAAAACACGTGAGTGTAGTCAATCATGACCTAAGTGTACATATATGTATGTATAGGTGTAATAATTAGTTATTTTTTCGTTGTGGTTGTTATCTTGGCCAATGACCTTTAAAAAGGTGAATTATTAAGTGAACTCTATTATAGGAATGTGGGTAGTTAAGCTGGCTTACTTAATAAAAAGTGAGCAAACATTCCATCAAACAAAATTTATGGGAAAAGGAGTTTTTACTTCATGTACTACAATGCTGGTATTTAAATGTATTTTATTTATGATTAATGGCAGTTTATTTGTATTTTTTGCCAAATAATTTATTTTAAGAAAAAATTTTTCTGTTCATAAAGAAAAATTTTTATTATGCTCAATGCAAAAAAATTGCAAAACTTTTTAATAAAAATACATTCGTAGTCTTGTGAAATCATAACTGTCCAAAAATGTAGTATTTTCAATCGCAACTATTTTAGTTCGAGTATCATTGAATGACTTTATGACATAGTTGGCATTTTCTTACTCTTCATAGAATTCATATTCTATGCCCATGACCTGGAAAATGCATAGCATTCTTTAAGCAAACTATGACTATATTGGCTTGCCATGGAATTTAACATTTAAAATTCTCTTTAAAATGTCAATAATTCTTATTAGAAGAATAGAATATTCACATTATGTTTTTCAATTGCTATGATTTGAACATGACTTGTATTTCAAATTATACTAACATCATAAATCAATTTTGATAGACGCAAAAAAAAAACATGAATTTGAAACAATGACAAAGTGTCGGGAGTACCGGTACAAACGCCTTCACTTGATTTTATTTATTAAGGACACCAAGTAAGCCAAGTGCGTGTGTGCTGGCCAATCAAATAAAATATGGCTATAACCACCGCCACCACCACCACATATCGTATCGGTTTCCAATAATAATCGATCAATAAGGAAATCACTGCGAGCGAAGGCGCATGTTTGTAGACAGATAAATCAATGGTTTTGATGACAAACAACAACAGCAACAACAAAACAAAAAGTACAGTGGGTGGTAGCAAAACGATATATAGCGTTATTAATACACAAACAGAAATAGGTAAGGATTGAAATGTGATGGCAAAATATAAGTAGATACCGAATAATAAGTGACACGTGGTATGGCACTTGGAGTTGGGCAATCTCGTTCCAAAAGCCCTTCGATATTTTTCCGTTCACTCCGTAAAATGAACAAGGTAATTTATTTAGTTCCATAGTTTATTTTAGTTCATCCGCAAACCTCAGTTAATTCGGTTAATGAATGGGAAAATTTAAATGAACTAGTGGATCAAAAATAAATATGTGAACAATAGCAAATTCTAACGACCTAGGACCGATCGTTTCTTTTGCGGAATAGTCACTTTCAACTAGTTCGTCTCGAAAGGACCCAAATCTAATTGACAGTTGACATATTTTGAATGGTTTTAGTAGGAGAATTTGTTAATCGCTTGCGTTTTGCACAGAACATTGATGCCGTGCAAGAACTTATACTATGAAGTAGAGGCATACCTTCCACGTCCATATACGCGACATTGAATGAACACCTAGTCGTAAAATAGGTTTATTCTCGCACAATTTGACAATCACACAAAAAACTTCGTGTTGATAGGTAGCCTTTTATAAATTTGTCGCGGTTGACGAATTATGGATCTTTGCGATTAAGCCCGAAACAAAGCAGTAGGTCTTCGATGACGATCCAAATCCAAGGAAATTTTTTGACAAAATTGTGGCGTCTGTTACGCTTAAGCAAAGTAGGGCGGTCAATTCCGACTCGAATACCACAATTTCCCTGAAGTATTCGGAGAAATTCGGAAAACGAATAAGAGACGAAGATACATTGTGTACCATTCGACAATTAGAGCTTACACACATTGGATGAAAATATATTAGGTTGGGGAGAAAGAAATCCATTATTTTTTCGGCAGATGGCTGTACAGATAGATTTCTCGTAAATTATCGATCAAACAATTTCAGATGTATGCTCGTCGGAAGAGTGACATCGATTTGACCGGTATATTAGAAGTTGTAACATCCAAGGAGCTAAAAATCGACCATAAAACTGTTTTAAAGCATTTACAAAAAAAAAAAAAAAAAATATAGTAAGGAAAGTAGTAAAGTCGGACTGAGCCGACTATATGATACCCTTCACCACTTTGGGTATATTCTACATATGTATCCTAATAGACGACGCGTTTTTGTTATATATCTATATTTGAACCGATTTCAGGGAAACTTGCCAGAGACTAATTTATATTACTTCCGTACGTTGTGTCAATCGTCCTAGCTATGGATCTTTTCACGAAGCTTGGCAACATAATTCTGGACTTAATTCAGTACCCTATACCAAAATTCGTGCAATCGAAAGATATATAGGGACTTTGGTGCAACAATTACTTAAAATCGGACGAAAATATATATGAGAGTTATATCTAAATCTGAAACGATTTTCACGAAACATAGCACACGTCATTCTAGCCTTAATTCATGGCAAATTTCGTGCAAATCGAATGATTTTCAGAGACTTTGGTGCACCAATTACCTAAAATCGGGCGAAGCTAGATATGGGACTCTTTCTAAATCTGAACCGATTTTAATGAAACTTAGCTCACATTATTATAGTCGCAATTCAGTACGCTATGCCAAATCTCGTGCAAATCGAAAGATATATAGAGACTTTGGTACACAATGTACCTTAAATCGGTCGAAGATTTATATGTGAGCTATATCTAAATCTGAACCGATTTTCACGAAACTTGGCAGACATCATTCTAGACCTTATTCCTTACGTTGTGTCAAATTTCGTGCAAATCGCAAGATATATAGGGACTTTGGTAAACCATTTACCTTAAATCCGGCGAAAATATATATGGGAGCTATATATAAATCTGAACCTATTTTTCCCAAGTACAATAGGGTTCGTCCTTGGGCCAAACAAATGAGCTGTGCCAAATTTCATCTAATTCGAATCATAAATGCGACCTGTACTTTGTTTACAATTTAACATGGACAGACGGACGGACATGCATAAATCGACTCAGAAAGTGATTCTATGAATATTCTCAAAAGGAACCATGGGTTTATCTCGATTCCTTTTGCATGTTACAAACATATGCACAAAGACATAATATCCTGTACCACAGTGTGGTACAGGATTAGGATTAGAATTACCAATATAGGGTAATGTTTCAGTGAAGCCTCCCTTACCCTTCATTATTTGAACCTTTTTGTAGTTTGGACACGTTTTTAAAACCAATTGGCTGTAATTTAGTATTTTTGATTCTCATTAAGTAGAAATTTGGCAAAATGTAATTAAATGGCTTTGCAATGAATCTTGATTATTTTAAATTCCAGTCTTTCGTAAATTCTTAAATAATAATGAATCTGCGGGCCGAACTTAACTATGTTTTTTTTTTAAATAGTCAGACTCAATCCCAAGGTATAGGACAGTTCTCTTAACTTTTATAAATTCTTTACAAAATAGCTTCTGGATCGAATATCCCGACATCTCCTAAAGGAAATGGTGAGTATCACTGGCGAAATCGGAAACTATAGCATTGCCATTCCCCTTGTGATTTAATCCTACCATATTGAAAAAATAAAAAAAAAACACAAAAAAGGGATGGTTTCCCAGAGATGGTTGGAGGCCTGGTCGAAATCAACGCCGCTTCCGCTACATATTCAATGCACATGTTTTTTCTCTGAGTGTACAACAACATTTAATGTTTCGCCAATTTTTTAAATTAAATTCGCAATACCACACACTCTCACACACAATTGGGAAGACATTGACTTTGTTTTTATTGTTGTTGTTGTTATTATTTTTTTGTTATTGTTACGGTGGTTGGATGGTTGGTTGGTATTGTTGTTACTGGCAGAACAACTATAGAACAATGGACGTGGGATTTCCTTTGCAAATGTGATTTGCATTTTAATTTTTCTATTTTCTTTAGACTCTTTTTAATGGCAATTTCGTTGTTAGCTTTTTTGTTGTTGTTATTGTTATTATTGTCCCATAGTTGTTGTTGTTTTTTTTTTTTGCATATTTTATGATGTGATTGAGGTAGTTTGGTGTTTTTTGGAGGTGTTACTTGTATTTTATGGGTTCTATTGGTGGCGGTGGTGGTGATGGTGGATAACAGGAAAACAAATAAACAAATTATGTATTACTTTATTTTTAGATTGATTTGTAAAACTGAAATTTTGCAACAACAAAAATTGGGTAGATGATTTTGGATAATAGACCTACAAAATAAATACAGAAGTTTAAATAAAAATGGTAGGAAAGTATCGGGAACAATTTCGGTGACTAATATGTTTTCAAAACCTATAACATTTTCATACATGTTAATGTATCCTGAACTCTGTGTGACATTTCCTATAGATTATTATTTTGGGTGTCATACCAAACCATGTATTTTTACATGGCACAATTATGCAAGGTAGTCTGAGGCAATTTCTCAATTGAGGCTACCTTCCATTATTATGCCATGGTATATTTATTGAAATGTGTTTTTTTATTCTTAAAAAATTGTACATTTAAATATAAGAGGGACTAATGAGTGTCTCAATTTTTCCTATACTTCACTTATCTATCCGTTATCTATTAAAGGGCTCTAAAAATTTAAAAATATTAATTATTTACAAATTTTTATAGTTACAGTTTTTGATTCATTATATTTTTGATTTTTAAACTTTTTCCTTTTTTGCAGATGTCAGATTTTTCGGATAGTTCACAGAGCGGTGTCATCAGCCCGGCCAGCTCGTTCATTGAAAATTTCCACAAGAAAAATGGCACAGTTACTGTCGTCGGTGGTGGTCCGGGCGGTGGGGCATCATCAACATCGTCGTCGGTCACAACATCGCCAAGTATTAGCATACCAAGCACCATTGGTGGCAGCACATCACCGTCCATCAATGGTGGTGGTATTGGTGGTGGCAATCAAATAGCCCTGGCCGGTGGCGGCAGTGGTAGTGCTAGTCGACAAATAAATGCCAGTTCCAGTAGTAGTGTTAAGGAAACATCATCAACATCGTCATCACAACAGGTAATTGCAAAATAAATTTCATTATTTTATTTGTTATAATGAGGCACCTTTATTGTCAATCTGTAGTTCAGCGATATGCCTAAAAGTATGCTATAGTTTTTTTTGCATTTCTTTTGTTTAAGTTCTTATTGTGCAATGTGGAATTATGTTCCACATGAAATTAATGTTTAGAAACAATTAATGAAATATTCAATTATTTATTATTTAGGAGTTTTTTAACACCCTCCACCACACTGTGGTACAGGGTATTATGTCTTTGTGTATATGTATATGTATACGAGATAGACACATGGTTCCTTTTGAGAATATGCATAGAATCACTTTCTGAGTCGATTTACGCATGTCCGTTCATGTATTTTTGAACAAAGTACAGGTCGCATTTACTATCCGATTTGGATGAAATTTGGCGTAGGTCACTTATTTGGCCCAAGGACGAACCCCTATATATCTTTCGATTTGCACGAAATTTTGCATATCGTATTCAATTAAGTCTAGAATGATGTTTCGTGAAAATCGGTTCAGATTTAGATATAGCTACCATATATAGTTTCGTCGATTTTACGTAAATGCGTTGGTGCACCAACGTAATGAATTAGGCCTAGAATGATGAGTGCTGAGTTTGATTAAAATCGGTTCAGATTTAGATATAGCTCCCGTATACAGTTTCGTGCGATTTTATGTAGATGGTGCACCAAAGGCCATATATATCTTTCGATTTGCACGAAATTTGGCGCAGCGTAATGAATGCAGTATAGAATGATGTGTGTTAAGTTTCCTGAAAATCAGTTCAAATTTAGATGCAGCTCCCATATATATTTTCGTCCGATTTAATGTAAATGGTCGACCAAAGTCCCTATATATCTTTCGATTTGCACGAAATTTTGCATATCGTATTCAATTAAGTCTAGAATGATGTGTGCCAAGTTTCGTGAAAATCGGTTCAGATTTAGATATAGCTCCCATAAATATTTTCTTCCAATTTAAGGTAAGTGTTGTACCAAAGTCCCTTAATATCTTTCGGTTTGCACGAAATTTGGCACAGCGTAATGAATTAGGTTTTGACACACACATCATGTTAAATTTCCTGAAATCGTTGAAATCGGTTCAGATTTAGATATAGCTTCTATATCTGACCAAATGAAAAAATTAGTATAGGTTGCAGGATGACATGTATATGGATCCAATTTCATTTTGATGGTCCTTTTAAAATGCGACGTCTGTTAGGATTCATTTGTTGAATATACCCAAAGTGGTGAAGGGAATCATATAGTCGGCCCCGTCCGACTTTACTACTTTCCTTACTGGTTTTAATTCCGAATATAACATTGATATTTTTTCCCCAAAAAATAGGAATTTGTTAAAATGGTTTATAACAGATTGGGTCCAACTTACATAAAAGCAATAATTCCAATTTTGTAAAATGTTTTCTTCGATATAGTTGTGGTCTGATTTTAGTTGGTTTTAATGGGATTTTTCGGAAGAGACTTGTGGTATAGAGTAATGGCTGCAGCATCATTGGTATGTGTTTTTTTTTTTGTGATTGACCAAAACGTTATTATCGTGCTAAAGCCAATTTTTGTGGCTTTCCCCAAATCCCAAGAATTTTTTTTTTTGCCAATAGCCTATCTTGGATAAATATTATTCTACAAAAAAAAAAAAAAATACAACACGTGTCTAATACTAACCGATTGCATATGAAATCATTTATTTTTGGAAATTGTGGGCGCATTTTTTTTTTGTTTTTGTTTTTTTTTTTTTGACAGAATGCCTTATCGTATCAATAGCCGTAAAGGCGAAGTGTTTAAATAAAATTAGCGTCATTGGTTTACACATTTTTTATTTAAACAAAAAACAAATAAATAAATACTTTTAATTCCCTGAATTGTGATGTGTTAATATATATTTGTGAATTTCCAAAAAATTTCAATGGTTTAAAATAATGACCCAAAGGACATTAATTGATTTTTAATCAAAAAGAGAGTTACATGAATGGTTGTGATAAGAATGGTTTATTATGTTTTCGTTTTTATACCCTACACAACTATGTTGTCAGGGTATTATAGCATTGTGCAGCCCCAAAAATTTGTAACGCCGCGAAATATTGGTCCTAGACCCACCATTAAGTATACCGATCGTCATATCACGGCTAGCTGAGTCGATCTAGACATGTGTGTCCGTCCGTCTATCTATTATAATTTGTAAACACGATACAGGCCACAGTTATGGACCAATCTTAACGAAATTTTGCATGTAGGAAGGGTTTTGGCCAGTGAAGACCCCTATTGTTTTTGGTAAAGATAGGTTAATATTTCGGGGATGATATGGACAAAATATTTAATTTTTGTAAGTTTTTCTGGTCGCTCTAGAGACCGCAAATATGACCCGAACATCGTGAAATTTTACATAGAGAAGAGGATTGGGACAGAGAATATGCATGCCTGCTTTGATAAAGATCGGTCATTATTTAGCGGGTCAAATGGACTCTGACTTTTGTGTGAAAAATGACAAACTTTGTATTCTATGGCGTATATATTTACTTGCGAAGCATATAGATCCGCGATGTTGATAGTGTATCCAAGAGGAATGGTTGACCTTCAAAATTACTTCAATTACATTGTCGTATGTATTCGGATGTGGGAGTTACACACAAATATTTACAGGTACTTACGTATTCAAATATTATTTAGTAACCCATTACCTCATTAGAGGGCGGAAATATAGCGCTAATTACTTTAAAATTTTCCATGAAGTTCCAAATATGGTCAAAGACAACGCCTATAATTTTCGATAATAATCTGATTAAAATTTTGGGAAGAAGTGGGTCGAAAACTTAATTTTTTTGTGTGTTTTCTACTTGAATAAAGGGGAACATCACAACACAACCCACCGTGAAGGGAATCGAAATAAACATCCGAGTTCCGTGGTAGTTGTGTAGGGTATTGTACGGTCGGCCCCGTCCGACTATACTGCTCCGTTCACTGGTTTATTTATTATTTATAAATTATTGCTATCAACATTTCTACTAATCTCAAAGTTTACATTCCAATGTACAATACGTCATTTCAAGATATTATTGTTTTTTTTCAAAGATATAGTTCTGTTATTAAAAAATAGCCCACAAATGTTTATACT